TATATACATATTATATATACTAAATTCATACATATGGTATAATGTAAGCGACGGAAAAATAAACGGAGCCAACCGGGATCCTTCGTTCTCTCGGCATAACACTAAGGCTACTACACCACACGCTCCCCTTGTCTCATGTATTCGTATATCCTTAATTCGGCCTCTTAATTGCTTACAATAACTTACAAATTTGTTGTATTCTTCCACATTTTCTGTTAAATTCTTTTCAAAAGCCTTGACATCATCAATTGTTTGAAGTGGGAAAGAACGCTCCATATTTGTCACGTCCAATGCAGGGGGATCTCGAGTCATATTAATTTTTTTTTCTACAGCTAGTAACCCAGTTTTTAACTCTTTAACTGTTTGTGACAGAGAAGTTAACACTTCGTATATTCTATTAAAATGATCTAAAAAATTAATAACATTGAGAAATCATTGCAACAAAAATAAAAATTACAGGATAAAGAAAATATATAATACCTTCCATGCTAGTTGACATTGATGTCATTAGCGTATGTAAATCCTGTACGCCTACAAAATTAGAGAAGGACTAGAATAATCTTGGAATACTCGCTAATAAGAACTTTAAACCTAGTGAGCAGGGAAGTCCAGGTTCAAACCCTGGCTGAGGTAATATTTTTCGCAATAAAAATTTCTGTGTTGAAAAACACAATTGCCAGGTACGGTCGATTGAAAAATTTAATTGTGTTATTCTTATAAGAAGCACTGGCGATTAAAAAATAATTTCTGATGCTTATTAAACAATGTATACGATATAAAGGTAATACTGTTACGTCTGGCGACTTCACCGCGCAATTATATTCCATGGAATCTCAGCTGATCGGGCGGAAAGCACGAGACAGGATTCCCGGAATCCCAGCTGAGAGCGCAAAAACCGGGAGCCGTCGCACGCGAGCGAGGCTCCCAACGCACCGCCCTCGCGCCGCGCCTCACCTCATGCGCCTTCGATCCCGCGTGCGCGCCGGCAGCGAGGCCGGAACTCCGATTTATTAAATAAAGAGAGGCAGTGGCTGCGGCGGCGTTGGAGGGCCTTATATATTTATTTTTTTTTCTCTTTTCATCCCCTTGTGCCGTGAGAGCACCGCGATGAATTCCCCACTGCCGACGCAGCCACAGCTGAGGAGGGAATAATAAAACGCGAATTATATAGATTTGGCGATTCGCCGTTCGAGCGGTCGCGTGCCGGTATTGACGACCGTGCGCGCGCTAAATATAGCTCCCGTATTTGGTTTGATTCCGAAAAGGCAGCGTTTCTAGCGGGATCTTGCGAATATCCCGCTGCAAGCGCTGGCCGGAGGATTTCCCCCTTACGGTGGTTTGGGACCAGTAGGGTATATAGGCCGGTTCTAACCCATGGGGCTCCGAGGGGGGAGCGGGACGGGGGGTACCCCGCGGCGAGGGGACAGGGGGGAGGGGGGTACTCCGTGGCGAGGGGACCGCGGGGAGGAGGGGGAGTACGCGACCTTGACATCACGCAAGGTGCTGACCTGTCATACGTGACATGTAACAGATATCTAGGTGCCGACCTGTCATCGAACACCTGGACGCGTATGAGTCACGGGATCAAGCGCCGAAACCTGGCTGATGACTTTCTCATCAAGGTGCATGATGTCAGAGAGTTCCGCGTTTATTATTCCACGACGCTTAGCGATCCGCGGGGAAGGAGATATTCTGCGGCGATCCGCGAGGACGCGGGGAGGACCGCAGCACTACGCGATCCGCGCGGGCGCGGGGCGGGGGAGGACGCGACGCTACGCGATCCGCGATGGCGCGGGGAGGACCGCGGCGCTACGCGATCCGCGATGGCGCGGGGAGGTCCGCGGCGCGGGGAGGTCCGCGGCGCGAGACAATCCGCGGCACATGCATGTAATAGATATCATCGGAAGATGACGATATACAAATGATTAGCGCAGACACACATCTGCGCGCATCCATGGCATGAGTCATGAGGTCAAGCGCCTAAACCTGGCTGCTGACAGCGACTTTCTTGTCTAGGTGCGTGATGTCAGAGAGTTCCGCGTTTAAACTCACACCTACTGCGTCAGCATGTAATAGATATCACTGAGGATGCCTTTGATTAGCACCGATACCACAGCTACACGTATTATTTTCCATGGTATGATCAAGTGCCGAAACCTGGCTGCTAACAAAGTCTTTCTTGTCTAGGTGCATGATGTCAGAGAGTTTCGCGTTTAAACTCGCACCTACTGCGTTAGCATGTAATAGATATCACCGAAGATGCCTCTGATTACCACCGACACAGCTGCTCGTATTCTTATTTTCCATGTTATGAGTCACGGGGTCAAGCGCCTAAATCTGGCCGCTGACAGTGACTTTTTTATGATATATAATCCGTCCGGAAGCCCGCTGCACCACAGTAAGAGATTTCATACGAGATCGAGAAGAAAAACATTGTGGACAGTATAAAGTCCGAAAAGACGCTAGCTCGACAACATGGAACAACGAGAGCAAGATCTGGTGGAGCGAGCCGACAGGATCGGCACATTGGGCGATTATTTGGGGTGGCTGCTGCAATGCAATGAGTGTATCGCAGAGCTAGAGGAACACAGCCGTGTCAAGCGTCCGAGGCTATCCATCGGTAACAAACAATCGCTGGTGGCTCGAATCGCGCGACTCGAGAGTGTCAAGTGCCAAGTTGAAAGAAGATTCGTACATTTCGGGGGTGGTGATGTTGGAACTTCTTCGAGAGCACAACTGTCGTGGCACAAGATCGACACCGCGTTCGAAAACCGCGTGCTTACCGGTGCGGTGATTAACGCGGAGTACATCGAGCCGCGGAAATTTCTCGATGACGATCGCGATATCGTGATCGAGCACGTGCGAGACACTATCGAGCGCTATAATTGTGTAAAGGTGAATACTATGTTCAACGGAGAGTTTGTGGCGGGTGATAAACGTGCAAATAAAAGCATAAATACAAAAAACTATGAACTGTTTATTACAACGGACCTACAACTGTGGTACGAGTCGCGCGTAATCGGTCCGACTCTAGCTGAACTCGAAGAGTTTCAGGAGCGTGATAGCGGGTGGGCGCTGGCGCGTATACACAACGTAACCATTAATGTGAACAAGTGCAATCCTATGCGCGCGGGATGCCATATAGACGTGCCAGAAGTGGTGAAACGAAAGAAAGCAGTGATCAACGTACGATCAACGGACAATGCGTGTTTTGCGTGGTCAGTAGTCGCTGCTCTCTTTCCGGTTGAAAGATACACCGACCGCAAATCGTCGTATCCGCATTACAGTGATGTGTTAAACCTGCGAGACGTTCCAATGCCGATGACATTAAGTGGTATTAAAAAGTTTGAACAATTGAACAGTATTTTCATCAATGTGTACAGCATCGATGAAAAGAACAATTGTGAACGTGCAATCGTACCGCTATGAGTTGCTGACGAGAAGAAGGAGAAGCCTGTGAACCTATTATACCTGCAAGATCATGGGGGTGCCGAAGTGGGCCACTTCGTCTGGATAAAGAATTTATCCCGCCTCGTCAGTTCTCAACTCAGCAAGAAGGAGAACAAAAAGCATATTTGCGATCGGTGAGTATCGACAAGATTTGTGAAACTTATTTTATTTGAAAAATATATTTATTAAAAAATTTTGGTCTTTCCAGATGTTTGCACTACTTTAGCTCCAACGTCAAGTTGCAAGCCCACAGCGTGGACTGTCAACAGATGAATGATTGCGCGATTATATTACCCAGCGTGGAGGACAAGTGGCTCAGTTTTAACAATCACAGTAGAAAGGAACGTGTGCCGTTTGTCGTCTACGCCGACTTGGAGTGTATCCTGAAAAAGATGGATACGGATCCGAAGACATATCAGCACCATGAAGTATTTAGTATCGCTTATTACCTGCACTGCTCATATGACGACTCGCTATCAACATATCAGTTTCGTCGTGACAAGGATATGATGCATCGCATGGTTCGCTGACCAACTAGAAGAATTAGCATATCGTGTAAAGAATATTCTGTCGAGTAATGTTCCCATGCAAACACTTTCGAAAGAACAGTATGAGAAATTTAATAGCGGTAGGGTATATAGGCCGGTTCTACCCCGGGAGCTCCGAGGGGGGAGCGGGGCGGGGGGGCACCCCGTGGCGAGGGGACAGCGGGGAGGGGGGTACTCCGGGGCGAGGGGACCGCGGGGAGGAGGGGGAGTACGCGACCTTGACGTCACGCAAGGTGCTGACCTGTCACTACGTGACATGTAACAGATATCTAGGTGCTGACC